GTTGAAAATGAAATATTATTGAATCTGCAATTCCAGTTAAAATACAACGCGAGTTTCACTATATAAATTTCGTACCACTAAAACAGTTACATCGTACAGTAACTCCTCTTAGAGCCAAATAATAACAATGATGTGTATGCTGGCATGTTAATTATATGATAATCATATACAGTCTCGTTGTCAGGAAATGCACTATGCTTATCGATACCATTTATCCAAGGGCAATAGTGTTTACTAAACGTCATATACAAAATGAAAACATTAATTGCGGGTGAATAAAATAGTATGCGACACACAAAACGGCCAATTCAAAGGTCACTTATGAATGGAGTAGGGTGGCAAAAAGGTATATAAACTGAAAACCTTAGATATGATGACTGGATTTCTACAACACAGATATTCTATATAGACATCTGTCACGCCGGCACCACCAGTCTGGTTTGTGTGGATGCTTGTCATAGTCACTTCGTGAAATAATTGTGGTTTCTGGATGAATTATTCTAGATAGTTCATATTCATATGTTTATTTAACGTTTTTTTTTCTTTAAGTGTATTCAATTACAGAGTACATTAAAACAGTGTATAGTTATTTTAATCTCAAAAAAATCAGGGCTAATTTTCTACGTAGGTTACTCAATTTTATGTTTGCGTATGTTTCGTATTTTTTTTTTCATGGGAAACCATTGTTATATTTATATATTACTAATGAGGTTAATGTAGTTCTGCAATCTCCTAAGGCAAACGAGAAAGAATCATAAAATACACTATAATAGAACTAGGTTACTACACGTCTGGACTATAGCACTCAACAACCGCAGAATACTATGAAATGTGATGCACAATACAGGTCCATAAAAAGGTTATCTGTGAATGAGTGAATCCTAGCAACATGGGTCCATGTCCTATTCGGCTTTGATATTTAAATGACTTTCCTACAACTCGAACGCCTTTGGGCAAGCTAGGTAATAGCTTCATCATATTCACATTTCTCTCAATTTGCATGCAGCGAATATATCCGATATTATTGTGTAATATTGTCTATGTTCAACGTTAAACGTAATGCAAATCCTAATACATTTACATCAATAATTACAGTTTGGGAATTTTCTGAACAGTAAACTTATTATAAAATGTTTTTGTAGTAAATTAACCAGCTTGTCTTCACGCAGACATTGAATCGTATGGCTCAGTCTTCAAACTAATCATAAGTTGTTTAAACCTTAAATTTTAAAATAATTAACGCATCAACCCCCATGTTGAATGAATGTAATTCTGTGCCCAGAATCAACATAATTAAATCTATTAAATCAGCTTATATACATGTCACATCCCGCAATTATTCATTTCGCACCGGTTTTATTAACGATTGAATATTGATGTCAATTTACAAAAAATATAAAAAAGCGAATAATTAAATTATTGATTCTAGCATATATAAAGTTCAACAATGGACTCTATGTACGTTAATCCGAGTATGTTTGTAAAAGACGTCACATTTGTTGACTCTTCGAATTTGATTCACAGTTCGATCCAATAAAAACATTTTCAAATACCAATGATAACAAAACAATTTAGATACGAACTTGAATTGTTTATATCGTATTTGCTTTTCTTGTTCATTTTCCTCACTGTTGACACAAACAAAGTGTGATAATATTACCCAAACACTCCATTCATCCATGTTTTGAGTCGAATAAAATGATAATCAAAATAAAAACAATAAAAACATGTTAATTTGTAAATACATAATAGTTACCAGAAAAAAAAAAAAAAAGCTGTGATAACCGATCCCACACTTCCGTTTAATTGTTTGGTTCGTCTTTGTGATAATAGCATACTCTTTTATACATTTCATAAAAAGACATGTAAAACTCGTTTTGTTATCCCGACAGATAAACAAACAATCGTAAGCCGACAAGACATAACGGATGTGGTCAGTGTATCTTCAGTGTGACATGATAACGAACATAATAACTGTGCAAGAGTTCAGTTATGTTTGCTCTATATCTGTATTGTGTAATTTGATGGCAAGTTTTACCGAGAAACAATACAAACGAACAAACGTCGCTGACCTCTCATCTTGAATGCCATGGAATATTAGATTTGTTACAGGTCAATACAGAGGTCATAGATTAATACTATCATCGCCGACAAAATAAGATGGTGAATAACTTAAATACAAATTATTATTTTTTTCCTATTTTGCCTGTACTCATTATCTCAAACACATTGTGGGGCTGTAATTTTCCTTTCTTGGTTTTACATTGACTTCAATTTACTACTAGCGTATTCACGTTCGACTAATATTCTTAACTTTTATACCTGTTTATACTTATTATACTTTGTTTTTGTTTTTGTTATAGAAAATGTATTATGTTATTACAATGATAAAGTTCGATGCCTGAATGTGTTATTACAGGAGTAACTAAAATATATACATTATTCGTGAATATGTTTGACCCAACCGATCACAATGCAATGTATTGATGACATGTAATATAGTTTTATTTATATTTAATACACATTATTTCATTTTGAAAAAATGTATAACGTTAATATATTTCAGTGATGTTAAACTTTTAAATTAAAGAAAATATGAAATATTATATTCAATACAAAATACAACTTGGTACACATTAAAGTAATACACATATAAGTAATGTGACTGATAATTGCTTACCATTTATTTATAAATTACAAAACATCACATATTTACGTCATATTTATGCGCAGTAAGGTAGTAACATTTAACGTTACACAAGGTAAATTGTGAAATATCAAAGACCACTATTGCATTTTAATTTCAAATTTATATTATTATATTTTTTGTACAGTCAACAGACATCTTTACCCGCCTTATCATTATGCCACAACAGTAAAATGAGGATGCGCTGCCAATACCACCATAGGCTTATACGTACCAGCTCAGACAGCGAAAATAAGAAATCGAATAACCTTTCACGATTTTCACCCGATTTTACAGAACAAATATTTTCTACGCATAGTTTACTAGGATAGTAGTTATATAAACAAAATATTTTG